CCTGCTTTTCCAATGGACGACTGCGCTTTGGGGAGCCCCGATCGTCTTGACCGCAGAGGACAGCCCCAACCAAACTGGCGGGGGGCGCCCCCCGTCACTACCGGAGTCGAATGCCAGCACGGTGTTACTGTCGGGCTCGGACCTCAAGCCAAGACAAAACAGACGGGAGGATGTGCCCGTGGCCATGAGCACCACCTCACATCGACGTCGCCGATTACATGCAGTCATGGACACCGCCTATTCGTCTGAAGACGGTGACTAGGCCCTAGACCCTACATCGGGGAGTGCCAGAAGTGCCTGTTCACCCCGACTCAACCTTTGCCGCGCTCTTTCTGTGAAAGTTGAGCAACGAAGCCTACTGAGTGTAGTCCTGACGGGGGATCCTGAGTGGCATCAACTCCTGCAGACCACAGCTATGCACCGGGGATGTGGTCCTCGTGGGCGATACCTGTTGTAGTCTTCTTGGGTCGTGCTTTTGTTTCTAGAATGTGTTTGGTTGTTTCTGTCCCTACCACGGTGCGATAGCCTGCTTCGACAATTTCGTGGCTTTTATTCCATGGTCGGGGCAAAAACCCCCGGGACCAGCTTTCCGTTCTTCCGTTCAGGTTCTTTTGTCTTCGGAAGGTTCGGAGGGTCTTGCTGCTTTGACGGTTGGGTTTTATTATTTGATTTGTTTGGAGGGAAGACAGACAGCCAGTCCAAGCTTTCAGCACAATGCCAATGACATGTTGCCTTCTGTGCATGCTCACTAGGTGTACTCTTATTCTTCTCCAAGGTAATCTCCTTGGGCATGTGATTGTAACGTGCTGCTTGCAGGAGTACCATAGTTTCTGCACAATTGCCTTACAGGGGAACAACACCCCCCACCTGTGCTCAAGACTGCTGATCTTTTCTATTTTGTTTTCCTAGAGTTATGACCTTTTTCCAGGAGTTTGTTGTCGGGGGGTTAAACCCGTCCGTGATCTCGGGCTTGATGAAGGTGAGCACAGGCAGGCAGTGTACAAATAAGCTTCTCCATGCTGAGACGAGGCGGTGGCAGGGGCTTTGGCCCTTTTACATGTGCATTCTGTCTTATGGTCATGGCTTTCTGCTTTAGCGCAACATACTTCTTCGAGCCACTTTTGCCTTCATCTCGCATGCGCATCTCACCATCTGCTCCCCACAGGACGGGGGCGCCTTGAGCGCGCGGGTGAGGGGGGCTTGCCTCCTTCATCCCTAGCCCTGGTGAAAGAAAGAGAGAGAGAGAGAGAGAGAGAGAGATACCGTAGCCATTTTGGCTCAAGTACTGCACCCTTTGCTTGGGGGCTGTTCCCCTCCTGGCATCGGTGGGAGAGACGCGGGGTTGGCCCGGGGGTGTACCCCTTGGGAGAGCTTCCGCCGTTTTTCCCAGCAGTGCTTGAGTCGCACGCCCGCCGCATCTGTCCTCAAGTGGCCCCTTCAGTTAGGGTCGCTTGCGCCGCGATTGCTGATCAAGAAGAAGGC